AGAGGGTCATATTAAGTCTCTTGAGAATTTTTCGCATACTTCTCATACATACATACATAAATACGATACATATAATAAAGACGAGATCATTCGAATATCTTTGTTAACGTTATTATTTTGTATTAAACTAAACAAATATCATTCTTCTAGATATTCTGATAAAATATTGTCCTGTGCTAAACTACAGAAAGAAAAAAATCAATTTTCTACATATGCTAGAAGAGTTGCCTTTTTTCTTTTTTCTTGTTATTGGTCGTGGGATTTGTTATGACAGCGATATGATTCATACAGCTTTCCTTTTCTGATCACGAACAAATTTAGTTTATTAAAAAGGATTCATATTTTAATGGTTAATGTAAGTTTTTTTTAATTTAAAAAGTTTTCAAAATCTTCATGGATATCAAATGAAACTCATCGATCAATCGATATTTCAATCGATGTTTTATTTTGTTGTTTTGATACTAGACATTATAGAAAGAAATCTAGATGATTAAATTAATAATTCATTCAATAGAGAAAACGTAATATACAAAACAAAATTTGTTTGTAAATGATTTTATTTTTTGTTAGTCAAGTAAATGCAAACAAACAGTTTGAGGTACGTAGGAAGTTAAGGAGAAAAGTGAAACCAATCCACTTTGTGAGGCATTTTGTTTTTAAATCTTCTGAGTGTTGTCAATAACTCCAGAGGTAACAAAATTAATGTGATAAAGATATTTTTGAATACGTTAAAGTCTATTGGTTCTAAATGGCGTAAATTTGCAAGTATTTAATCATTTCCTATCTAGATTCAAGAAGAAATTCATGAGATAAAATTGTGCTGCTCGATCTTGATTATTTTAGCTTCGTTATATTAAATCTTCAGAATGTGTTGAAGTTATTTGAATGTGTAAAATAGAAGAACCTCAATATAAGTCTATAAGATTGATTTTGTATTTATTCATTGAGCTTACTTTTATTTGTTAAGAATAGTTTGCTTAGTTTTTCTTCTTAAAGCTCCATAGAAATACATCTGAGCAATTTGTTATAGAGACGTTGACTGGACATCTACTGGAAAAACAAACAAATCTGAAGGTGAAAAAGAAAAAAAAGAAGTTCTAGTCGAAGTATTGAGAGCTTCATTCTTTTTTAGCTCATCTATTATTTACTCATAAACCTATATCAATCTAATGCTATAAAATATTTAAAATACTAAAGTTGAATGTCTTTAGAAATTACATAATAAACGTTACAATCATTTAAAAAACGATTGAAAAGTAATGTTCAAATAGTCTCACGATTACATTTTTCTCTTTGAGAAATTTAAAGATCAAACGAATGGAATGAAGCATGTACTAAAAAAAGAAAAATTTAAAAAACACAAATAAAACTCCAATCAACTGAAACAACTGAAATATTATCAGCAGCGCTAACAAAGAAACTTGATCTTGCAACATCTTACATTCCAACAAAATATTTTATTCTCACAAAATTACGTACTTATTTCTATTGTATGTTTTGATTACGATGAACTTGGTTATGAAATTTATTTATTGAAAATGTAAATGTTTAAGAATTTAATATGTAAGTTAAACAATGAATACATATCCGAAAAAGGAAATTGATCTATTTGTTTAGTATCGATAACCTAAATCATCTGCAATTATTGAAGATTCGAAAGATTTTCGTCATTATTGACGACTTTGCAGTAATTAGAGTGTGGATGTGAGTGTAATTCACAGAAGACTCTCATACTCACACCCACACCCGACTTTACTAATTTTTATATCCTGGTATTATAATTTATACACTTACTTTCTCATTATTGTTTTTCAATTGGCATGTTAGCGATTAATAAATTAATAGATTCTCCTGCGACAATGACGCAATGGCAACGTTGGCAATCGATACATCTGGTAATGCTATTTCCAAAATTATTTTTCTGGTTTTCGGTTCATAACATACTGATAAACAGTCATGACTTTTTTTAGTAAAAATTCCACTGAGCAAAACATTTTCGAAAATCCCAAACAAATAATTTCTATGTTAATTTTTGCTTATAAGTAAGTTAGGTAGTCCTAAAATTTTCAACATTCAAAAGAAGCAGCAATGTTCAATAAAATAACACAACAATCGAGTCGGCTTGAGAATCAAATAGATCGAGAAAGATCTGTTCTTTTTTTTCTCGAAACTTTCACATCTATCAAATTTGGTTAATTCAGATCAGAACTATTTGTTGTGAATTTTTCAAAAACATGTTGCTCTCAGGAACAATTTCATTAAAATAGTCATGACTGTTTATCAGGAGGTTATGGAATCTAATCCTTTAAATTTTAACTTAGTCTTACTGAGACCTTCCCATAGTCGTAGTATGAGGACGAGCATCCTCCAACAATGATGTTTTCTCGTTAGTTTTTTTTATTGACTCATTAGCTTGAACCGGAACAACCTAATCAAACACTAATAACAAAAAATAACTTAAATATCTACTTCAAATTGTTGAATTCTTTATTTTTATTAACAAGAAAAGAAACGAGACAAATATCGATGAAAACAATTTTAAGGCTTTGTTTTCTTTTGATCATGTTGATAGAATTAGTGGAGTCAAAGCAGTAGCATTTTTTGTTCGATATTCTTTGAAACCATTAACTAATTTTTGTGCCAACGGTTTAGAAACCTTATGATTGTTTAGTAAATGACGTTTTAATGTATTAAGTGGAATTGATCGACATTGACATTGTATAGTTGCTACATTTTGTTGATTATATTCTGGTAAATTAATTCGTCCATTAAAAAAAGGACATGGAACTTTATAAAAATGATCAATTACATTTTCATTCCCATCAAATAATTTTGTTATCCTAGGATCTTGCTTATCGGCAACAGCTCGCAACAAACGTTGAACATAAACTTTTTTTAATTGATGCTTGTATATGAAATGAGAATATAATCCGACTCGACGATTTTTTCTTTGCTCACAAAATTCCATCGAATGATTTGTTTTAGTAAGACCATATGCACCATCAAATGTTAATGGACAGTTATCACAAATATTGTATAATTTTCGTTTACGTTCCTCTTGTTCTTCATTTACATGTTGATCCTGAAAAAACATACTGAACATTTAAATACCATGTAGGATTTATTTCATAAAAAACAAAACTAATTTAAACGTATAGAAAGGACAACGAACTGATTATATAAGACGTATCGTATATAATGTTGACGTGAATACAGAAAAACATAGCAATATCGACAAGGATGAGGTTTTTGTATTGAAAATAGGACTTTGCTACGAGAGGAAAGTTTATTTATGAAAATATTTAAATTCAAAAATTCTTTAATTTATGTGTACAAAAGTAATTTCAATAGTGAAGTTGTATTCTGTTTAATTACTTTGAAGAGTATAGCTTTGAAATACGTATGTTTCACACTTTCGAAAAAGAATGAATACAAACAAAAAACTGTTTTGTTAGAACTTCATTTATGCTGAAATTTGCTTTTCTAAATAGACTCCATTGAATGTACCGTTTTTACTCTATTTAAGGGTGATATTTTTCTAATGTAATCGTTTCTAATCGAATCTCTTCCAATGCCAAAAAGCTAAGACAAGTTCGGATAGATACCGTTCAATAGATTATATACACGATTACTCCGAGCACAAAGCTGTAGAAAGAAACAAACATTACTACCGAATTTGTAGAAAATCTCGTTTTTCTGCGGTAATACAGAAGAAAACCTAGTGAACTATACCAGAACTTGATACGACGACTTGGATCTTCTCGAGACTTAATGCAATATTTCATATATATTTGAATTCAAAAACTGACTTTATCGACTCTTCCATCTATATGCTAGATAGTTATTTTTACCTCAATAGATGTCGTTGTTTTACTAAAAGTAAGAAAAATATGCGATCAGGTTCGGATCTGTTCTAATAAAAAAGAAACTTACTCAAATGAAGTAGTATCATTAACATCATGATCGATACACGTTGAATATCTATCATCTTAAACCAATAATGTTTGTTTTTCTTTTTAAAGTTACAGAAAATATTACTTACCTTTCGAGATTCCCAGTTCTTCTGCTACATCTAAATATAGAAAAAACATATATTTTAAAGAAATCTTTTTAAATCCTATGAGACTTCTATGAACTGACCTCCACCATTTGAACTCATATAAGGTCAACAATAGAAACTAGCTAATGAGGAAACCGTCCGAGGTGACTTCTCGCACTTCTGATGGGACCTCTCTCGTTAGGTAGAGTCAGTAGAAACTAGAAGAAGCCTCGAAGAATTTCTCTTCACGTTCTATTCTTCCGAAGTTATGGCCGTTTCAATCCGTTTTTTTGGATCGTAACACTGTAAATATAACATATATCGAGTAATGGAATATTGACCTGAAACTTTGTCTACAAACAGTTCTTGAGCCTATTAGAATAGCCTAAGTTTCAGCCAAAAAGAATTTCTTCTTGAGATATCGAATCCTCAAAAATCATAATATCCCATATAAAGGACAGACGAACCAGTTTTTTTTTTAGATCTGATATCTCAAGATCATAACTCCAGACGGGCAGTGCATGGAGAGAAATTCTTCTAGGCTTTTGCTAGTTTCGATATGCCTTAGCTAACAAGCGAAGTTCCATCGAAGAAAACGAGATGCGTATTTGTTCAAAAATAAATAAACCGAATTTCGATCTGTAAATTTGCCTATTGATCAATTTGATGATGTATCGAATAATTTGAAATCTACAGCAAAAAAAAACAAAGGTTCATTTATCGAGATATTAGATTTGCAATAAATAGACACTGGTGAAAATCAAATTTAATTGGAAACGCAGTATCTCGATAAATGGGCGTTTTTTTAGCGATCATAACTTGGCTCATTAACTATATAACTACTTTTACTAAAAATTTTTTTTGGTACCAATAAGAGTTCAAATGAATATTAATAAGGTCAGTTAGCTTCACCGTCAGATATCGACATCTATGGTTAGATCAAAACAAACAAGAATGAATACAATGAAACGAAAAAAATATGTTGCTTGTGAAGGGAAGTATTTCTTAATGGTGATTAATCTAATACAAATTTAATAAGAGCGAAATTTGATTTTACCATTGGAATTCATGTTTTTCTTATTACATTTGCAATCACAAGAGCAATATTTAGTTTCTGATAATGAAGGTTCGACTTTCACCATGATTTCTTCTTTAACACAAAAAAAGAAAAGAAGACTAATATAGGAAAAAAGGCGATTATCTAATTTTGTTTTTACCTGAACGATTTGATGCTATTGTTTGATTAATTTGTTCGAAAATATTTTGTAGTTCATCAATTGGAGTACTTGATATATCAAGAAATTTTTTTGCTTGTTCAATCAAATTTTGTTCACGTCTAATAGTAAATAATTTTTCTTCAACAATTAGTTCAAGTGTATTTACAACTGTATTTAATTCATTACGAAGACTATCTAATCGTCGTTTATTTTGTTTTGTTGTTTCAATATGTTGAATCAAATGATTTATGCAAATAAGACGTGAACAACAATGACACTCATATAATTCTTTGATTCCATCATCACATGTTATATCAGTACATGGACCTTTTTTGGGCATTTCTGAACAACAAAAAACAAAGAAATACGAATATTTATATCTTCAGTATTCGTTGAGATACGTGATGGTTATCATCATAGACGAAATATATGATATAGTTGACTGACTAAGGGATGAACTGACGAACATATATATAAGATTATTTTATTCGTTCATGTGAAACAAAACGAGAGAAGAAACGAAAAAGAAAAATAAGACGTTTTCTTTCATCGAATAGAATAGATAGACTATTAGTCAATAGATATGAATGATTCATCGTATGAGTCCCTCAACGAAAATCACTGATACAAGTTGATACTAAATGAAATGATCGTGAAAATTTCGTTATATTGGTAATTTATCTGAATCTATATTGTCCATTATTTATGCAGTAATATGCATTTGTTGCTAATTGTAAAGAAAACTGTATTTTCGACGACAGTATGATGCGTATACATTAAAGAAGCAAGCATACGTAGAGAGAACAAAATCAATCAAGCATTACTTGAGGAGTCCTCAGTTTTTTACTAGTGTATGCAATTTCATATAATACACGTGTTTTATATTGACGGGCAGACAATTTTCTATGAGTCGTATATTTGTTCACACAAAGCAAGGTTTGACTAAAGATTGATTGATCATTAAGGGGGAACCCCCCCTCCGAAACCTATCTTCTAAACGATACAACAGATTTCGATGAAAATTTCAGGAAATAGAAAAGCTAATGTAACTAGCATCTGATAAAAATTTCAACCAATCATTTTTGATAATTAAGAAGCTATACTCAATTTACTCATGAAAACGGGGGTTTTGGCACGGAACATTTTCCCGATGCGCGGTAGCATAAAAAATGTTGAACTTTGTTTCAAAATGAAGAAAAATCTTTTATCTAGAAATTGTAGGAACAGTTTTTTGAAATTCGTTTTCGTTCAATTGTAGTAATCATTTTAAACCGAAAATCGCAAAAACTGCTTTGAGCACTTTCAAAGATTTTCAAATATCTAAACAATGGAGAAATATTTTGAAAATCTGTTCCGACAATTTCTAGAAAAAAGTCTCATCTTTTAAATAAATAAAAATCAGCAGAGTACATCAAGCGGTGAACTGGGAAAATGTTCCGCAATGGTCAGAAAACGATAAAAAAGTGAAGCTGAGAAAAACGAATAACAACATTGCGACGTAGTTGATGATCTTCTTGTAGAGAGAATTCGAGCATATTATATATCACTGAAAAGCGCATAAAAAGTTCTTACAGTTGGTAGTATTTTCAAGAAAAAAATAAGCCGATTTCTTAAGCTAATTTCTGAATCCAAGTTCACTGTAGCGCCATCTTTTCGAAAAATAGCCTCCCAAGTCAGCCCGTGCGCCATTAGTGCGCATACCGTGCGCGTCACACGTGCGCGTGACGTGCGAGACGCTCGGTACGCGCACGGATTGTCACGCGTACGTACGTGTGCGCGTACCATTAGCGACGTTCGCTTTTCCTTTTCTTTTACCATTGGTTCATTTATGAGAGACTTATTTTAATTTTCACAATTAAAAAAATGTTTTATTTCGTTCAAATGATTGTCAACTAAAAACACTTTAGTAGACAACAACAAGGACTGGAAGAAAAAAAAATTCAATATTTGTTTTACAAAAAAAATGACAAGATGTCACATCACATAAATGTATCATGAGATTTGCAACTTTTATAAAGAAAACCAATATAAAATTAAAATTTTCTGAATAACGTACAGATGGATAAGTGTGACAGTTCCTATTTCATGATGCAAAAAAAATGAACTTTAAGTTGTGACAAAGCTGCAACATAATTTCATGTACATAACTTATAATATAAATAAGTTGCATAAATCTTATAACTTTTAACACATAAATTAAATATCAATAATAATCATCATCATCATCCTGTTCATCATTGAACTGATCTTGACTGTTTAATTCATTGTTTATTTCAGCAATGAGAGAAGTAGTTCCTTGATAAAGTTCATCTTGATTTCGTGTAAAATACAGGATGAAGAAGAAATCTGGAACAATTAGATTAAAAAAAAAATTGTAAAAATATTATAAAAAAAATATTTAGTGTATTTTTTTATATACATTCTAAAAAAGTTATAAAAAAAGTTAAATATTGTAATATATATTCTAAAAATTATAAAAAAAAATTCAATACTTATATATATGTATATCCTAAAAAAAATATTAAAAAATAAATTAAAATTTTTAGTACATATCCTAAAAAATTATTAAAAAAATAAATTAAATATTTTAATATAGATTGTAAAAACAGTTATAAAAAAATTAATTAAATACTTTAATATACATTCTAAAAAAAAAGAATCAAAAAATAAATTAAATATTTAATTTATATTAAAAAAAATCATAGAAAAATATAAATGAAATATTTTTAAGTATATATATAAAATATATTTGTATGAGAAAAACTAATTGTTTCAGTTTTTATTCTTTTTTCAAAAAGGATGTCCGTTATATAGATATGCCTTTGTTGTTGGTACCATATATGTGGATAGACGGCCTCTCCACTGGACGCGACATCACGTACGTCACACGAACTAGTGATGAACGCATCGGTACATCACAGTACGCGTTACGTCACTCGTGACACTAGGTGCACCGATGCGCACAAGCGTACCGTACCCCGTACCAATAGCGCACATGCTGACTTGGGCTAATTTTGAACCTTTCTTATAAGACTGCGACATCCAAAACATGATTACTCGATACGGTAATGGTTTTAGAGTGCTAATAAAGAAGGTAGAACGATATTAGTTACCGATAATTAAGAAAGAAAATCAACAAGACAGCCGATTTTCCATTATAGCGTCCAGTAAACTTGCCAAAATTGGGCAAAATATGTTCCATTCCTATATAGTTTATACATATTCTGAAAGAGGACACTTGGGGCTACAAGAAGATGTGTTTTTCCAAAAATCGACTTTTTCAAGGAAAAATCGACTTTCGAAGGGGGGGTTCCCCCTTAAAGAAGAAATGCATAGTAACACAATTTCTATGGTCATATAAATGGTATAGATAAGAATTTCTTAGAAAAAACAATAATCCCATACTGATCAACATCGTTTGTCTAATAATCAATTAGAACAACAAGATCAACTTGGATGTTGATGAAGAAACGATTCATACTCACATTCTGAATATCTTTTTTTTCTCTTGCTTTCAAGAAAACCGTCAATAGATATTATTTTGAACTATCAGACTTTTGATATATATGAAGAAATAAAGTACTGATCGAAAGTATCCCTTTTTGATCTTAGTCACTCTTAATAAGAACACAGTTATGATGTATGAGAGCTTTTCTCATTATGAGCTCTATAACTAAAGAAGGGAAGCATCCATCAACCTATCATCGTGTTAAATATCAGTTTTCGAACATTTAGATGGAACTCAATCAAAATTCTTATTGTAAATAACTGCGTTTAATAACCACATAATGATAGGTTTTCCAAATCATAAGTTTTTTTTTCACTTTTTGTGTCATAGGACTTACAGTGAAATCAGTTAGCATAGGTCATAACTTTTCTTCAACTCCAAACAGCAATGCCAGAATGATGTCTTTTTCTAAGATGGGATATAGACGAAAAATTTCACGTGTCTAGAGAGAAAGAAACGCTGAAATCGATAGGTGATATACTTTCTGACTAGCAGTGTACTTCTGAATTAATAGTTTGCAAGAGTTCTTCATTACTGAGGAAAAGATTAATTCAACCAGATCGACAATATTAAAGTTTTTTATCATTGAAAAATTTATCAGACATTCTGTCTGCACCAGTAAATATCTGTTTCACTAAAGAGAACACTCATAATCATTGCAATCAACTTCAAAGCTAGATTAAATGACATAGAACATGTATCAATGTCATTGATAAGAGTCAAGAACGACAACATATCATCAACAATACATGATCGTGCAAAAGATCAATGATGACTTATGATAAACATTTATAAAACTAGAAGTGCAACGTTGAGTAAGATTATAGAATCAAGCATTCATCTTTGATCGACATTCATGATTGTTGAAGATTTCAAAAGCGATAAATAGAACCTTGGAAAAAAAACTTTAAAGATAGTCACAATACTATATGAAAATAACAAAGAAATTCTGAATGATTTGCAATTCAGATCACTCTTTTCATAATGAATGACTTGTTATTTTAGTTTTGTTTGTACACGTATTTAATTGAATGCTCTTAGTATTTTATTTAAATAGACAAAAATACAATGTCACTAATATAAAATTTTTTTTCTTTTATTCATTGAGAAATTTTTCATAATCATTTTAAAATATGAAAAGAATGTTTAGCAAAATATAAATAAAATTCATAGAAATCCAGTTAAAGTCGAGTTGATGGATATGATGAGAATATTGTTTCAATTGGTATAATTCGTTCATCATTCATATTCTTTATTTGAGTATGTTGAGATGCAATAGGTTTCGTATAATAACTTGGAATACGTGTTGCACTCGTATTTAACATTGGTCTTGTAAAAGCTTCAATAATAAATAGAATACCAGCCAAAATAGCAAAAATCTAAATAAGAAGAATTTTCTTTTTTTTGTATTTTTCGATTTCATATACATACTGCAGCAGCTGCTGCTGCACCTGGTCGTGGATGTGTAGTTTCACCATATATATATTGATATCTATTTAGAAAATAACCACGTCGAATAATATCAGGTGTACGTCTTAGTTTATCTTCCCAAAATGCTGCACATATACCAATTAATATCATCATAAGTCCCATACAAATATTAAAAAGTAAACACTATGAAAAAAAATAATAATAATTTATTGAATTGTATTCAAAACCAAAAAAAAAGGAAATAACTAAATTCTTACAAGTTGATTGATATAAAAGTAATTTCGACCTAAAAATCTTATTCCAGAAATATGTACCAGAAGAATTGCAAGTGTTATAGCAAGACAAAATATAGCAAATGATTGAAGTAAAGTTCGAACAAGTAATGTATTTAATTCAGGATAAATCCATTTTAAACTATCAACTAATTCACAATATAGACGTGATGTAAATGCAGCACTAATCAAAGCTCCAATTAAACAAACCTAAAAGTAATTCAAACATGTGTTTTTTTTTTTGCGATTTTAATATAAACAATAAATTCAATTCATTGTTTACTGCATAATCTCAATAACTGTTCGTCTTTCTTCATCTAGAACAGAAGCTCATTCTATCCAAACGAACGCAAAATAGCAATTTAAATTATTGAATAAAGTATTTCATTGTTTATGGTTGTGTAGTCATAGCGTCTCTAGTGACTTTGATTTTATTTACGCTATATGTTTTCTATTAGCGAGCAAACGACTTTCTTTTCTTGGACAGAAAAATATGTGCGCATAGAAATTAATGAAAGACAGCTTTTCAAGAATAGGCCTATCAGAAATAGGCATGTTTCAATATCATTCTGCTGAGCTTCTTCCTGTTTTACGGTTATATACTGAACTACATATTTCATTAAAAAAAGAGAAATCTTCATTTGATAATATAAAGTTTTACTTTATACTTTTTTTAAGATAGTTTAAAAAAATCTCATATAAACGTGGGAGGAAAACGCATGACTCGAAAATTTTTGTATAACATGAAGCTCGAAGAGTATTAAAATCCATTTTTGATTCATCGCTATTTATCATAACTCGTATCAAAGTTCTCCAAAAGTTTGAAAATTTCAATTTATCGAATTACGTGTACTGCTGTGCTTGTAAATGAATCAAATCATATCTACAACACAAAAGGTTAATCACAATAAAATCCCAATGTCAAATTTTTCACCTATACTCCTCTCCTTTCTTTTTTTCCTATAGATCAGATTAGTATTAAAAAAAACATACAATTTCAGCAATATTGAGTTGACCAGTTGGTGTTAATAAATATCCAAAATCTAGTCGTCCAACCATGTGTAATATCTCTATACCTTGATGTTCTTATATTTTAGTATTATGACAATACATTCAATTACCTTTCACTTGGTTGATAATAAATAGATAGGAAGAAAGTAAGCGAAGAAATATGTCTGTATATCAGTGAAAATAATTAGCAACCAGAGCAACTGGTACGCCTCTTCATATTCTATTTTTGTACAAGGATAAACATACGAGTAATATATCTCTTTCTTTCTTCTCGCTACTGAATTACGCTTATTTTATTCGACAATGATAAAACATTAAGGTTATTCTGTTATATCTTTATTATTACGACTGAAAATTCGGTTTAGCGTACAAGCTATGGATGATAATAATAGTAATATACAGACCACTTGTATATAAATACTTTATAAGATATATTACAGATGAAGTATAGTTATCGATGGATGATATCCTGTCGATGGTTGTCATAATTCTTCATTTTAAAATATTAATATAGATATTCTGACTTGAATAGGTATTTTTGTTTTATGATAAAAGAATTCCGAATTTTTAATCAAGACAAAACTACGTAAAAGTAAAGTTCTGATCAAATTACTATGTATGGAACACCATTCGTCTATGCTTTACAATTTAAACAATATATTGACAAATCATACATAGAATTTCTCATTTCAAATAATTAAAATAGAAATTGATCAAGTTTATTAAAATGACAATCATTTGCATATAAAATAATTGTTAACTTATGAATTTTATTCACTACATAAATATCAAATAACTGCTGATGTTGTTCATGTTTATAATAAAAAATTTGAAAAATATATTGTTTTTTGTCTATAATACGCTACATTTTCATTACCTAATTTTATTGATTATAAACTAATGTTACTAATGAATGATCAATTGATACTTATTTTCAATAATGAACAAGGAAACAAATGTATTATTATTAATTATTAGATTAACTAAATAGAAGTTTTCGTTAAACGCATGACACATTGATCGTATATTATTCATAAATGACAAGATTTATTCTTTTTTTTATCTCATATATCATTGATGATTATCTAAACAAACCTCAATCATGATAGTTGTTTTCGTTAACATAACCAAAATTATCTGTATGACAAGTCGCCATTTCTTTGATTATAGATACTTCAGAATATATGGAAATTTTTAGGGAGTCTAAATGGATAATGATGCATTCTGTTGTTTAGATTGAATAAAACAAAGCGTTTAGTAACTTTCATATTTGAAAAAAGTTTAGAGCAATAAAAATTGAGAAGATAAATAATGTAAACTTCAGAATTAAATTTAACATTGTTTTGCTTCATGAAAGAAAGTCTCATGGATAGTTGCATTAATGTCAATGGAAGTAAAGAATGAGTAGAATGATGATAATAGACGTTTTAGTTATATCATAAAGGTGTATCTCGAGTCCTATAACTAATCGATACTCTGACTCATTCTACTTTGACATCAACGTCAATAAGGGCAGATCATATTTGTATAAGCAAACAGGGTATTTCTTCTTACAGAAAAAAAACAGACGTATATACATTAATCATAATACTATTCAAGATAAATCTTAAAACCATTAGCAATCAAATATGTTATAAAAAAATCAAAGAAATGAAGAAAGAAAATTTTTATTCTTGTTGACCGCACTAGAGATAATGTCATCAATGAAAACTTTTCGATTTGAAATTTTTGTAGTTGAGTTTTCTATTGGGGTCCTTTTAAGTGAACATGTAAATAGATAAACATCAACCTAATGATAAAAATCTTCAAAAAGTATTAGTATGTACAGTTTTCATGATTTTCACATGAATAATTTCGATTTCTTCGAAACATAACAAAAATAAAATTGAATAATAATACGTACGTATATGTATGTGAGTATTAACAAAACTTAAGAAATAGTTCTTTTGCAATGTGAAGCTTTCAAAGAAAAGGATTTTCATCTTTAGGTGAATTTCTTCGAAACATTTATATTATAACTATGACATGTTACAAAATTTGTCCAATTTTTTAAAGTGACTTTGTCGCTAGATTCTTTTATATATGTGAATTTGTTTTTCATTGCTTTATCAGACTTACTTTATAATTGCCTTGGTTTCATTGACGAAACAATTGTTATCAGTTCTAGAGAAAAAAAAGAATAAGATCTTGAAAATTTAGCTTGCAGTTCAATTACATCACTTATGAAGATCACATATAGTTCTATAGTACTTTTAACCGAATAGGTGTTAAATCGAGATTAATTAGTCAAATAACTTGTTGTTGAATAATTGTCATGAATATTCGGCAAAAATAATTCGAATTTAATACAGTGCCATCGAAGAAAACTTTATCATTCGTTATGAATATATTGTTCATATATAACATGACCAGAAAGAGCATTTAAATTCTTACTATACAATAAGTATCTATATAATGAGACTGTTTTTAAAGTTCCATTTACTAATAAATTACAACTGAAACTATTAACTTGACCTAAAATCTCATTCAAACGTCAATGAGAAGAATCTTATCGACAGTAAAATGATTGAATAGTCAGATTTACTATGGATAATAAAATTTGAAACTGTAGGGGCATTTATTTTTCAAAAGTATTAACAATAAAGAAAAAGATATTTTCAAAATATAATCTTCAGTGTTTCCTTATTTGCATTGTTGAAGGTATTAGTGAAATATGCCCTGACTTACTCTGAGCGCCGTTTAGTAGCAACTTATATCAGTTCATAGAGCTTGAAAACAAGTGATTCCTCAATGAGAAGAAGCTCGTATAAGTAAAATAACAAACGATGGTAATACGACCGTTGACATTGACTGTATACGACGAAAATATGGTACGGACGTGGCGAAAATACGTCTATTAACGATCATCTGATGTCGGACGTAACAACGAATATAAATTATGGGCCAGATTTACGACAAAATCAGGCTTGCCAAACCTCCTGATTTGGATAGAAGACTCTTGATTTTCTTACTTTTCCCCTGATGAAAAATCTCCTGATTTCAGAAGCTGATTTTTACGATTTTCTCCTGATTTCTTCTGATTTTGATTTTTTCTTACTTGGTGATTAGCAACACCTTGAATTAATGAAGGCTTCACAGAGAGAAGAAATCTATTGCATTATTTAATGGATTTAATAATAATAGCTAATAAGATAATACAGTTCTTTTCGTTTGTTTTCTCTAACTAACATTAAATCTTAACTAAATAAAATTATTTATAGAACACTTTTTTATTCAATGTTTTCTTCACAAGAATATGATATTATCGAGATCTCAAGCTCATCAAACAATGATTTTGAGACACAATTTAATACACCATCTTTAAATGAAGAAACTGTTTCATCAAACATAACTCCAACATTTAAATCTTCTAATACGTTATCATTATTATCATTAACATCATCAAGAGTAACTAAACATTATTCGTCAAAATTTAAAAAAGAATGGTTATCCAATTCTATTTTTTTTCTACTTTCTTACGAGAATGTAAAACTAATTTAACTAAAGCTTTATGTATTGTTTCCAATGTTTAATTCTCCATTCAAAATAGTGGTCTTAGTGGTATTAATCGGCATATTCAAACAAGAAAACATCAAGAATGTGTCGAGTCAGGCGAATCTAATCGAGGTAAGATTTATTACTACTGGTTTTTTTGGTACAGTTACTTTTTAATATTTCTTTTTTAGTAAAAACTGTTGATGGAATGTTTCATATACCAACATCTGAACTTGATAAATTATGTGCTACAGAAGGTACTTTGGTTTTTCATGCCATTAAACAGTCACACAGTTACGTTTCACAAGCATGTACAGTTAAATTAAATAAAAAACGTTTTCCTGATTCTGCTGTAGCAAAAAATGTTACTTCTGATAGAACTAAAGTAAAAATAATATTATTTATTTTAAACTACTAATAGAGCATCATATATTTATTTTCTAGGCTCGTGAAATAGCATGTAATGTACTTGCACCGGCACTTACATATTCTATTATACTTGCATTACGTGATGTTGCATTTTTTTCAATTGCATATTATTCACCAAATAAAGGAAATGTTAAGATGCAGCCAATTGTTGTTCAGTTGTTTTCAAAGTTTGGTGTTTAACATGGAGTAATAGAATGTATTGAACAACAAAAAGAATCAGCTGATGGTTTATTCAGTAATATCAAGTATGTGTTAGAAGCAAATGAAGTAAAATTGAGTCAAGTTGTTTCAATTGGATCCGATAACACCAACGTAAATGTCGGTAATAATCACAGTGTCTTTTCTTTATTTCCGGAACTAATACCTCGTTTAATTAAAGGTAGAAGCAAATTTGAAATTTTCATAAGCTAACTCTTCAATATTCTATCGTTTTAGGCAATTGTTATTCACATATTCTTCATAATTCAGTGAAACGTGGAAATGAATATTTATTGTTTGATATTGAAACTGCATTATTAAAGATATATGCTTACTTTTGTAGATCGTCCGTTTGTTCACAAGAAATAGCGAAATATTTCGACTTTGTTGAGCAAGAACAAAAAGTAATGAATTTTATCTAGATTGTTCTCATATATTTTAATTTTTGAATATTTCATGACAAACATTTTTTATTTAGGCTATTCTTAAACAAATTCGATTGAGATGGCTTAGCCTTTTACCATCTATTCGACGTTTTATTGTTGTTCATCCAGTTGCAAAAAATTATTTTCTAAATCTTGAACATAATGAATGTCCAAACTTGTTATTAGAGTTTTTTACTTCAAATGAAAATAGTTATTTCTATTTTGAAACACATCAATCAATTTCTCTTCCTTTTCAGATAGATGAATGTTCTTTGTATTTCTTAGCGAACATTCTACCAGAAGTACAAGCTGCTAATTAATCATTACAATGTGAATATACAACAGGTGTTAATTTACATACTATCATTATATTTTTCCTTCATAAATTAAATAATCATTTATAAGATGGTTCTTTTGGTTGTAAAGTTGGTCAATTATTGAAAAACGTTCAGTCTTCGAGCCAAGTCAACGATTTCAAAAAATTATTTCGATCCTTTATTCATTCAGTTATTGATTATATTGAAAAATATTATAATTGTTCGGCATCATTGTATCAATCGATGCCTGTTTTTAGTGAAATTAATATTGAAAAAATTGAATGGAAAAATATTCAACATTGTTGTACTTTTGTTGAAGATGATATGATTAGTCAAGATGGTTTATATAATGATTTTAATCATATAAAATCCAAATATATTGTATTGAGAGAAAAATACGATGGAATTACCAAGCAAGTTCAATCATTTATTTTATCAAATTTAGGTACATCCAAACGAGCTGAAGCTCCGCTTCATGATGAAGACAGTGCACATGATGATGATGGATGTAACGCTACAAATGATTCCGATTCTGGTTCTAATGATGATGATGAACGTAATGCTAAATATCATAAAGAACAAAAAGAGAATCTATGGATCAGAAGTGATTATTTATGGACCTATTTACTTGATGATGAAAGAGTACCTAATTTACAAAAATTAGTTAAATTTGTATTTTCTATTCCTGTTTCCAATGGATATTGTGAAACAGTTTTTAGTCACATGAAATATTTATGGAACCATAATCGGAATAGAATGAAACAGAATTTGGTTGGAGCTGAAGTAAAGATTAAAATGCACACTAATTGTACTTGTACAGAGTTTTATGACCACCTTTTAAATAAGCCCGATCTTTTAAAACAGATTCGATCGTCAAATAAGTAGTCATATTGTAAAAGTACCACGAACTGTTTAGTAAATTTATTCATTGCTTTTTTACTTTATGTTTTATTATGCTATTTCTTAATTTGGATTTGCTTTTCTATATTTTGTGTATTCCAATAAGTGCTGATGAAATAAATATTGAAATAAACTTTATGAAATGAATAACCTTTCTTTATTTAATTCATTTACAAGAGATATTTTTCCTTCACCGACTCAATTTAGAAAGCAGAGGTGTGTAGACTATCAAAAACTTAGATCTTATTAGGTAAAACCCAACGAACGACTCTTAATTTTCAAACGAAAATCTCCTGATTTTGAAAAAAATTCTCCTGAGGAACTCCTGAAAAAAAAACTACTGATTTTTAAAATTTTGATTTGGTAAGCCTGGACAAAATACGACATATAAATGATTTATAAGCAGGCATCGTAACAAAGCGTCTGAGATAGAATAAAAATATGCATTAAGTCATTTTTATTGTCGAGTATTATTATTTGTTGCTGTTGTTTAAATAGTCTTGTAGTTTGTGGTTATCTTTGTAAATCAACAAGTATTTGAAAATATTACACACTCGTTTTTACTTATTAGATGAATAAATGTGAATATCTCATTTGGTTAGAGATGAGTAATGAGCAGAACATATAAGAACATCAATGATCATGACAAGATAAAGCTTTCATTATGACTTGTCAATATTATGCGTTTATTTTTTTATGTGTAAGATATATCTCGTAAATGAATCCAAGAAAAAAATACAGTTTAATGTTATTTCACAAAATAATCGAACACAAACAAGCGATATACTCTCACTTGACAAGAACAATAAAATCGTTCAGCGTAGGTATACACATTTGCATGACAAATCAAGAGAAATGAAAAAAAGAAAAATGTTGACGCCTGTCTTTTTTAATGCGTCATCATTGACTCAATATGTATTTGGTGGATACGGTTGAAAAATTTTTCTATTTCTATTTCTCATCTTATGGCTTTTTTCCTATAAGTTTCTTTTTCTCCCCCTCACTTTTTCTATTATGACAACACTTAAAAAATCATATATAAATAGGCATCATAAAATTAGTTTTTATTCATGGATTACAAGAGAAATGTAAGTACTATTATATGCAAATACATATATTTTTGTTTTCTTCTGTGGAAATCATTTGGTCAAAGAGAACCGTGTGTATTATTTTATTTGAAAAAAAATACTTTTTTTTCTGTTACTAGCTTTGAATGAAAAGAAACATGTATAAGCAAGATGATAAACGACAGTGAGTATACCCGTCGAGACGTAGTCGTATATGTCAATATAACGACTACGTCGAATCATCAGGAATATTATTTAATTAATTGAGATTTTATCTAATAATCGTTAGTTTAGGCATTGTAACAACGTACCATGAACACAATTTAGTTACAGCACGTAAACAGCTATCGTATACGACAATTTTATGTCACACTACATATATGGTATTTGAATACGACTCGACTATATAGATTCTTTTTAATATTAAAGATTTCTAAACTAATCCAACATGAATAATTTTGTATACATCACAGCCTAATGTAATAATAATTATTATGTTACATTTTAACGGTTTATCAATGAGAAGTAACTTTCGTCGTTACGATTTACTTGATCCTCGACTGAATCTTCAGCTCTCCACTATACAACGAAAGGTCTAACCGATACTAATATCAAATGTATGTATTAGAATGTATGTAAGTGAACGTGTGGGCGCACCTGCGAGTGTGGATAATGATGTGTTCATCGCTGTATTCTCATTCACACCCTCTCTTCAATTGAGAAAATAACAAAACCGTCAATGTCAATTCATAGATGTAGCGTCCCTGAACGATATATCACAAGTAATTCTTAATTCTATTTTGCTTTCTAGATATTCTAATCAATTATTATTTAAACAATGATACTCTTTCTTATCGGATTACTTTTCGTGAGCACCTGCTAATCACACATAATCCGACAGAGAGCAACTTGCTCATGGCCTGGGCATTGTGCTGGTGATCCATGTACAACTGAGAACGATTGTGATGGATCTATGATCTGCATAACTGGAAAATGTGGCACACCTGGCGGTACAGGATGCACTCAACCGTGTACATGGATAGGACATTGTTGTGGAGACTCATGTCAAACTGAAAATGACTGTGATGGATCATTAGTTTGTGTTAACGGAAAATGTAGTGCTGGGTCTTTTGGTGATACTACTGTTCGTCCTACTGTCCGTACTACTGCTGTTACTTCAGATGGCTCTTCTGGAACCTGTTCACCTTCAGGTGTATTGCGAGGCACAAAGTAATCTTTTTATATAGCTATTCCGCGCATTATGCATTTTTATCCTTTTCTAGCACTAATTGCAACACAGAAAATATGTCCGAGTGCTGTCAAGCAGGAAAAACGTATGATCAATATCGATGCTCTCCTAGCTCAACTAGCTCAGCTATACTCACGTTGAACAGTTTTCAAGAAGGTGGTGATGGTGGTGGGGCAGGTGCATGCTTTGGACGTTTTTATCCTGATACACAGCGTGTTGTCGCCTTGTCAACAGGATGGTACAATGGGGGATCGCGATGTGGGAAAACCATTACCATTAATGGCAATGGTAGAACGACAACAGCAGTAGTCGTTGATGAGTGCGACTCCGTAAATGGATGTGATGCAGAACATGCGGGACAACCTCCGTGTCGTTACAATATTGTTGATGGATCTCCAGCTGTCTGGGCTGCACTAGGTGTACCAGAGAGCGATCGTGGAGAGATGAACATTTCATGGAGTGACTAATTTATATAAGTTAATAAACTTATTTTCGAAGCCCTTTAGAGACTGAAATGTAAAACTCACATAATTTCTTTAGCTTGATTATACTAGTACACAATATGAAAAGCGAAAAACCTGTGGCATATCGTATTTGGTTTATTTCAAAATAATTGATAGGTATAAAAATAATCTGTCTTATTTATGTCTACATTTCTAACAGAATTTTCTTTTTCTACTGCTGTTCTATTTTTGTTTAAGTTGTTGTTATTTGCTCATTACTTTTATTTTTGATATTTTTTTCCTAATTCAACTGTATTATCATTCTAACCATTCTCATTAAACCTTGAAATAAGCCTGCTATACAAAATATACATTAATATTTACAGCAAGTATCAACGGACTATTATAAATGTTGATCAACGCATAAATCCTGACATAGATTGCTTTTAAAGTAAGAGTTTGGTGAAGTGATTCTGTTTGTCATGATCTTATTAAGATTGTGGCAAATCAACGCATTACTATCCATCATTCTTGACACATTGAATATATTGTTTTATCTGCTTCCAGAGCATGTCGAAGTCTCGTAATTGATAGAATGCAGTGATTTTTGCTGCTCGTGAACTTAGAACAAGGAATTAGATAGCTGTGAACCACGGCTATTAGAGTCTTTGATGGGATTGTCTGCAATGAAAAAGAGAAAAGAAGAAAGATATGACTATTTCAGGGGTTAATTCAAGTGGAATGAGTCAAAGAAAAAGAAGAATGACTCATGCAAGTAACGAGCCGGTCTCGTTTGGCCGATTAGACCGGTACCAGTGAAGGAAAAAACTTTAACAGTTTCAACTCTGCTGTCAGTTAGGTAAGTTTGTAACAGAATTGGCTAAAGATAGAGCAAGCACAACTAATCATGCTAAATACCATTAAACGAATGCACAACACATCAATATTATTTTATAAAATATAAAATATTTTTTCTTTTCGTTAACCCAATAACCGAGGTAACATTAATGACGATAAAGCTTAGCAGTCAGACATTTTCAAAAATGACACTTTATTATGTTTTATAGAAGTCAACGAAAGCTACTAGTTGATATATGAAGCAGCATAACCATGTTGTTAGGAGCTTTAAATTCTTAGGTAATAGAGTGCTGAATAACATACAGCTAAGAGAAATTTTATGTCAATGAGGCAATTTGTTGAATCGTGCTAATATGGATTGCTTAATAGTATTAAATCAAATTCACAGAGCTATTTATTGTATATCGTCAAGCAGCACCTAGCCATAGATTTTAGAAACTTTCATAACAGGAGATAATCATCAAGTGAATCAGGACGACTACATGACGTTTACGTAGTTATCTGAACATCATCGTGATGAACTCTTAGATGACGCACTGGGGACGATCGTTTGGTTTCTATATAATACGACTATATCGTTCTGATTAGTCATCAAATGATAAATTGCGTTTACAATAATAACTAAATGTAAAAAAAATCTCGTACGACAACTGTTCCTTCTAATTTCCATCGAAGCTTGTCTCAGATGAGTGAAAAAGACATTTTGTGGCCATTAACAGCCATATTTCATCATGTGACCAATGAAATACAATAGAACACAAATTATTACTATTTCGTATTTTTTTCTGTAAACAAGTAATTGCAAAATCACGAGAAAGGTACGGTACGCAACAAATATAAATTGATTCAAACGAAAAATACCTCACTCAACAAACTACATATTCAATATACATTTCAACATATCAGACATCTCAAAAATTTTATGAATGTCGACTAAAACAATTCCAACTCTTCTTACATTACCAATAGAACTCTTCTATAGAATTCTTGACCATCTTGATGATATCAATATTTTAGGCTCGGTGCAAAATGTTTGCACACATATGAACACAATTGTGGACAACTACCATCGATACCAGGTGAATCATTATTATATATAAAAACTTGTTTTTAATCATCTGCAGAACAATATTTATTTCTCTGAGATCTGAAAATCTTAATTGTCTCACTGAAGTATCTTTTTTTGTTATTTATCCGTTACTAGATCTAACCGAATACATTCAACGATTTGTGGGAAACGACTATTACTAAAAGTCTCGATGAAAACTGTGATTTACCACCGCCAACATTTGAAGCTAAGAAAAGTATAGTTACTACTAAAATTCTAACTATGATAAAACTCAATAACATGCATCAAGATGATGGTAATTCAAACAGTTCCACGCAAATCGTACTGAAAAACTGCATCTGACAGTCCATCATTGAAACCGTGCTAACACAGATACTGCTAAAGTCGTTTATTTCCAGCAATAATACTTCAGAGCATTATTTCATTATTGATACACAGAGATGATGAAACTGTATTTTCTCATGGTACAAGGTGTGTAACGCTCTGATCTCAAATGATATCAACAACATGTTTTATAGCAAATTAAAGTACGTCGAAAACGAGTTTCATCAATACTAAATTGCAAGTGCTAGGAAAATTTTTTCAGTGCCGAATTCAAAAAATTCCTGAAATTTTACGCCAAATCGTCAGAGATAAAATTCATTTTGTGAAGCAGTTCCAATTGTATCTCATTTAAAATAATGAATATCAAGAAGTATTTAATACACGGCCAGGAAATGTTGGAGAAATAATAAAAAATGAAGCTGAAAAAAATGGCTATCAGACACGAAACACAATCTTTTTGATAAAGAAACTCTTAAAAAATATATTTTATATGTTTTGACAAACATCATAACAAACAGTGTACAGTTTGAAATTATTTAATACTCGCATACATCTTATTGTCATACTGTAAGAGCACTAATGGTCGTTACACTGATTAATTATGATGTTCATGAAGTCTTAGGAAATAAATGTTACTTTTTGACAGTCATCATTTTATAGAAGATTCAGTTTGAACTGCTACACGAAAGGAATTTTTCTCTGCCGATTTCAAGTGAAATTTTACGAACTCTTTGACCCGAATTGAAACATGGTTCTAAAGAACACTTTTTAACATTAATAAATCCTATTTGCGACATGCTTGTTTTTTTGGTAAACAGTTTGTTGATTATGCTGTTTGAAATCGTAGCATTTCCTCCTCGGAAAATATTTTTATGTTTATTGCGCATCAGTTCTCACAAAAGCACAAATCTACCAACACTTAAGAAGCATACAATCGTATGGAAGAGCTCTAAGCACAATAGCTGACAGAGGTTTTCACACCGAGAAGTAATTTGCACTTTTCTAATCACTTCCACGGAAACCATACATCATTTCAACTTTCTTAATGCTACACATAGACACTAACCACATTGGATCTCAGTAACAATCGACTCAGTGATAAAAAAATAAAACATCTTGTCAATGCTATCCAACAAAACAAAGTAATATCGCAACTTCCCATACTATTATTAACTCCCTCTTTTACACAGATACTCATCACACTCGATCTCAGTTGTAATCAAATTGGTGATCAAGGACTACGACATCTTGTTAATGCTCTCCAACACAACCAAGTGATGTTTTCACCTTCTCATTTTATCATTCATCTTTTATTATAAACACACGCTTACAGCACTAGGCCTCACTAGCAATGCAATCAGTGCCGATGGAATACAACATCTTGGGGATGCTCTCCAAAAAAATCAAGTAATGTCAACTGCTACTCATTCTATCGCTGATTCCGTATTTCAATCAGACACTCACCACATTGATTCTCAATTCCAATGCAATCGACGATGAGGGAGCACAGCATTTTGGAAGTGCTCTCCAACAAAACCAAGTAATATCAATTGCTTCTTATTCTACCAATGACTGTCTATTTCAAACAGACACTCACCATACTAGTCCTCAATTCCAGCGGAATCGGTGATGACGGAGCACAACATCTTGGGAACGCTCTTCAACGAAACCGGGTAATGTCAGCTGCTTCTCATGTTATTGTTGATTACTTATTTCAAACAGAAACTTACCACACTGATTCTCCATCGCAATGGAATCGGTAAGGACGGAGTACAACATCTTGCCAATGGTCTTAAACAAAATCAAGTAATATTTCTAACTTTTCATTGTATCATTCACTTCTGTTTTGAAACAGACACTCATCACACTGGACCTCTGTGAAAATGAAATCGATGATCGGGGAACAGAATATCTTTCTAATGCTCTTAAACATAATCAAGTTATATTTCGGCTTTCTTATTTCATCATTTATTTTGTATGTAAAACAGACACTCTGTACGCTGAAACTACCTTGCAATCAAATCGGTTATCAAGGAGCATATCATCTTTCTAACACTCTGTTACAAAACACAGTAATATTCACGACTTCTTATACTACCATTAGTTTCTTCTTTTACACAGACACTCACTATGCTTGATCTCTGTTTCAACTGCATAGGCGCCCAGGGAGCTCAACATCTTGCTATTGCCCTCCGACAGAATCAAGTAATATCCCTAGCTTCTCGTACTATCATTTAAACCCTATTCTAAACAGACACTCACTACACTAGACCTTAGCTTCAATGACGTCGGTGTTCAAGGAGCCCAACATCTCGCTGTTGCTCTCGAACATAACCATGTAATGTTCCCAAATTCTGATTCAAGAATTCACTTCCTTTGGTAAACAGGCAATTGTCACACTTGAGCTCAGCGTTAATCAAATAGATTCTCAAGGAGTCCAACATCTTGCTAATGCTCTCCAACAGAACCAAGTAAAATTATCCGCTTTTCATACTATCATTCGGTTCCTATTTAAAACAGACACTCATCACATTAACCCTTGCACAAAATAACATCAGTGATCAAGGAGCTCAACATCTTGTCAATGCTCTTCGACACAACAAAGTAACTTTCCGATATTCGCATTTTTATCATCTACTTTCTGTTTTAACTAGGCAATTATTACGCTTGACGTCTGTGGGAATGAGATTGATCATGAAGTAGCAAAGCATCTTGCGAATGCTGTGAAACAAAGGTGAATAATGGTTTATAACACTTTTGCCTAAACCAACTT